AAAACAGCTTTTTTTTTTTCTCAATTATCCCTTCTCTGGATACCCCTCCTCCTTCTCTTTTCTCTGAGAGAGGGTGAAGGTGGGTTATCACCATCTCCGGCCAAATGTTTGTACACCTTGCACCAGATTTTATACAAATACACAGGCCACCTTCTAAACACTATTGGGGTTTCTTCGATTTTTTTTATTCACAGTGGGGTTTCTTTTGATTTTTTGATTCACAATGATGTTTGTTTGATTTCTTCGATTAACACTATTGAGGTTTCTTGGAATTTTCAGTTCACACCAGTGGGAATCATCTCAAATGTTTCATGGCAGACACAAGGATTGATATACTGAACCAAATCCATCAAAGAGATCAAGCTCGCATGCTATGGAACCAAAAATCCTTCTATTCTGCCTCCTGTTCCCAATTTTTAACCTAAGAAACTGGGGTACTTCATGTATTTCTGTAGAAATTGGACTCTCATCAAAATCAAAAATCAAACTCAACCATAAGACCAACGGGTTTAGGCATGAAAAAAGGTTCAGTGGTGGGGGGTAGTTGGGTTGCAGGTGTTTGATGAGTTTAGGTGGTGGCAAAGGGAAACCAAGGTGGAGAAGATGCAGCGGTCGGTGGTGGAAGAAGGTTACTTGGGGAATCGTTGGAGAAAAAAGAAGGGTGAGTGGGCCGGAGATGATCAACTGTGAGGGAATGTTGTGGTGGCCGGAGTTGAGGGAGATGGGAGGGCGCCGGAGAAAATGGAGATCGCGATTGGGAATGTCGGCGGGAAAGATTTCTTCCTAAGGGGGGACGCCATGAACTGTTCATATATATAAAATATTAATATATAAACATGGAAATTATATTACTTTAATCTTTTTAAACAAGAGTAAAAAGACCAGAATATCCTCAACTAAACGGGATTAATGTTAACGGACTCAATCCATAATAAAAATGAAACCATGGTGAGTCGGTGGCTATACATGTAATTTTTTCGTTTGAAAGACCCAATCCATAATTTATATATAACCACAAGGACGAAATCGGCAATTTACTCAACTTCAAAATATTTCACAACATTCTTCTATTGTAAGAAGTTTCATAATAAATACACAAATAATTGATGCATGTGTGCCTGGAATCTGAGACCACTTAAGCGGGTACAATACTTTAAAGGTTCATTTTTTTTCTCTTGTAATTATCGATTGAGCAGGTGCACGGGGCCCTGCTCAACTCTTATTAGGTCCGCCCTTGATGGACCAGAGGGTGATTTATTTAGCTAGTGGTAGCTTTAAAAAACTTCGATTTATTTATGTTGATCATAATAAATTATTTTTAAGAATTAAATACAAGTATAATTATTAATATATGTTTAATGGGCATAGGGAGTCTTCAGTAACGACGTAATGAGCTCTATGCAATGTATAACTTATTTGGTAAACAATACAAGGTTGTTTAGTTGTGTCGTATTCAATCAGCCCGTAAAGAAGAGTCATATCCATAAGCGAACACTTTTACATCAATACCCTTGAAAGAAAAAAAAACACCTCATAAAAAACAGAAGACAACCTCTCAAACAAGCAAACCAACAGAGCCTTCATCCTCCTTGACAAAAGATTCTTAATTTGTCGAGCTTTCTTCCTAAGCACAATCAAAATACAACTGCATCGAGATTCTCTTCATGTGTGGAATAGAGATCGAGATCGAATGTTCCGACGAGGGTTTTCGCTGCGCCAGTTTGAAATGACGTTAGTCAATGAATGTTAATTATCTTATGATGTTTCTCTTTCTTGAAATATGGGAGTTGATTGATGTTGGCGCATCATCGCAGTCGTCGATGATTAGCAATAAAGATTGTGATATGATTGGGCGTTTCTTTCTCCAAGTAGGGTTGGTTAATTGTCGTCTATCAGTGATTTCGTATGCCTCGGCTTTGTATGAGTTCATTAAAAAAAACAAGAAAGATAGTTATATCCTGAATTCTTATCATTATGCTAAATTAAGTTGTTGTTCTTATAAAAAAAAAACGTTTACATTGATATTTTTTGTCATGCAAAATCAACCATTCAATATATTTATCAACCAGTTATTTTAACTAGTACTTAACGTAAACTGATGGGTTCAACAATCACTTCTTCATTCAAACTGTATATTCAACACAACAATCGGACCAATTTAATCTAAACCATACAACCCAACTAAATTCATACGAAGTTTAACTAAAAAAACAACCAAACAACCTCATACACGTATATACATGAAGGTTATATACATACAATTGCATCCAGTCTTTATTTTTTTCTATTTCTCCAATAAAATAATGTTGTATCGACACATGATTGATAATAGAAGCGAAATTAATAGAAATAGTCATTTTCAGCTTTTAGATTCATTTCTTAGTCATATCTCTCTTCAAATTTCAAAAACATCATTAGGTCCTGTAAAGTGATACCTCCTCAATTCGTGGATGGGTCAGAATATAAAAAAGGTTCTTAACCCTCTTTAAATTGAGGATGTGACACTTATGGACCTAGTGATATTTTTGAAATACGTAGAAATAAACAATTAAGAGGTTAATCCAAAGTTTGAAAATGACTATTTTTATTAATTTCCTAAAAATGTTTCCTATCTTTTATTAAATGTTGCCAACTTACCATCTGTTATAACAAATGATCGTGTGAAAAAGAGAGTTAGTAAGAAACATGAGAAGAAATTTGAACCTTTTGATATCGAAATTGATCCAATAAATCTCAACTTAATATGCATCCAAAAGTGAAAATCATTATCCACGTGTCATCATTTCACCTTTAACTCTCTGTTAAATACTGTACTCCATTATTTACATTATTATTTTAATAAAGAAAATAAAATATACCACATGGTGAACCCATCGTCTACATCCACCGATCTCCATAAAGACGATACTATCACTTGGACATTCCAATCTCTGGTTCCGACACTAAAATATTCCCATCTGATCTCGCTATTTTAATCTAATCCCCCATTACAATAATCCAACAACACCCATTGAAGCTTTCTTTCTGATATAGTCAGCTTCCCACTCGTACCTAAAATCGCTCCTTCAGTATTCCCGCCCCCCATCTATTTTTCTTATGCAGATACACTCATACACCAGCATTTCAATTCCAAGATTCCCTATTTCTGCTGCTTCCCTTTTCCTTTCTGTTTCTCAAGATCTACATTGGTGGTGTTTCGAAATCAAGAAAAAAGTAACTGATTTTGCAGTTTAATGAATGAATTCTGAGGGATTACAGAAACTTTTGAGTGCATTAATGGCTGAAAAATGGCAAATCTCTTCTGGGATTTGGGTTTCAGGAACATATATGAAGAGTAAGTTGTTTAAGTTGCAATCTTGTTCTGTTAGCTAGCAATTCATCTTTTCATACCTAATTGATAAAGACTGGTGCTTTTTTGATGTGTTGGTTTTGATTCTACTGAAACTGATTGATTCATTCATAGCTTTTTACAAGCTCAATAATGGCTGTAAGAAAGGCCAGAACCAGAAGACGACAGATGGGTGACCCCCACCCTCATTTTCACACAAAATTGGGATTTTTCGAAATTAGAACGACCATACCTTAAACGTTGAAGCCGTGAACACCAAACAAGCAAGGTTAGGAGAGAAAAGATAGGGGTACGTGGTGGAAAACTGCAAATTAACTCACAGTTTTAGAGAAGGGGCTCCATGTTCTTGTCACGTGGTCCTGCTTCCTTCTCCCCATAAACCATAACTTCCATCCCATCTCTTTCTTTATAAATACATAAATAAAACGGGTTACTTTCTTCAATCTTGATTTGGGTAACCCTAAACTTTAAGGTAATTACTTGATCATATGCATTGTTGGATTACCTTTTCCATCTTTTATGAAAGGAATCTTTCAACAGTTTAAGGTTTCGTTTTAGCAATGATTTGGTTTATGTAACTGCAGATTATGGAAAAAAGGAACTTTCTGCCTAATTCTTAGCGATTCCAATCCAAATCTTGATTGTGTGCTTTAGATAGGTTGGTGGAAGTTTGGTGTCCATCATGAATTTCAAGCATGCGTCAGTGAGTAAAGTGGTCCTCAAAAACAGCCTTGAATCTTGTGGGCTCAATTTTGGTGTGATTGATATGGTGATATGATAATACGATTGTCGTTGAGTCATGTGATTTATGATCTCTTTCTTTCTTTATTCTTCACCATCCCCTAAACTCATGTGGGTTTCTTGGCCTTTCATGGTAATTAGACTTACAGTAATTGTGGGTGAAGTGGAAGTTGTTAAATTTTAAACCTTTCCAACTTGAAATCTAATCTTTCACCCATCCATTCATTTATTTCAATTCACTTTGGTTGTTGTTGCTGTAAAGGGTGTTGCCAAAAGTAGGGGCTCACTGGGATTGAGTGAGGTATGGGTTCCAATTTCCATAAATAAAGCAGATATTATCTTGGTTAAATTCTTTATCTTTTCCCCTTCATACTTATCATCTGTCCTGCAAAATCCATGGTGTTTTTGGTTCATATCCTTAGCCTTTGCCTTTCACTTTCAAATGAGTTGGTATTATAGTATTCAAGTTCTTGATTCCAAAGGGTATGGTATGGTATGGTATGGGGTGCCATTAGGGGTCTATTAGCAAGTGGGCCACACTTTCTTTATTCTTAATCTGTGAGTGTGAAGTTGAAGTCTGTGAGTTGCTTTTTATTTGGTGTTTCTTGTTTGAGATCTTCTGGCATCAAGAAAAAGTTGAGAGCTTTACCTGTTTTTTTTGCTTTGTTTCAGCTTGAATCTGCACTTATTAGCTGCTTATTGTAACCAATTCAAAGGGAATCTTGCAATTGGGTGAACCATGGATCTTGACCATGGTAAATGTTGGGCGAATTCGAAGGTTTGCTGCTAAAGTTTTCGACTTTCTTTCTTGTAATTATCGATCGAACCATTTAGAGAACTTTTCTTGGTTTTGTTTAAATGTATTTAGAAGGATTCTTGGAGGACAACTTTGCTGTTGGCTTATCAGAGTCTCGGTGTAGTCTATGGAGACCTCAGCATTTCTCCGCTTTACGTTTACAGGAGCACGTTTGCTGAAGATATCCATCACTCGGAAACAAACGAAGAGATTTTCGGGGTTCTTTCTTTTGTTTTCTGGACTTTAACTCTCGTCCCACTTTTCAAATACGTGTTCATAGTTCTCCGAGCTGATGACAATGGTGAAGGTAAGCTTTGGGGCTCAAAGTTCATATATGGAGTACTTTTTTTTTTTGTTAATCCCACTTGATTAAAACCGTTAATTGATTAAATCTTTAGGTGGTACGTTTGCACTGTATTCATCCATTTGTCGTCATGCTAAAGTAAGCCTGTTACCGAACCGTCAAATTGCTGATGAATCGTTATCTACATATAAGCTCGACCAATCGCCAGTGAGAGAGAACAGTTCTAGAGTGAAAATGTTGCTTGAAAAGTACAAAATTTTGCATACAGCTTTACTGATCTTGGTTCTTCTCGGCACTTGTATGGTAATTGGAGACGGATTACTTACTCCCGCTATATCTGGTAACAAATATAATCTCGATAACTTTTCTTTTCTCGATGAAGTATTTTGAATTTTCTAATGATTTGCTCAACGTAATCATCATTCTCCGGTTCGCAGTTTTTTCTGCAGTTTCTGGTCTTGAGTTATCAATGTCTAAAGATCATCATCAATGTAAGCAGCTTTTTCATCATTCAGAATCTCAGATTGATTGTTGTTGTGGGGAGGGGGGGGGGACCGGTGATTTCGTCGAATCTGTGGGCTGGAAATGCATTTTTTACTTTTCAAAAATCATTTTTCGGGTTACTGTGGGTGTTCGGGCCCGCTTGTATACACCCAACCCTTAAGTTAACAATAAGACAAACCTTGTGACGGGTTTTGAACCGGTCCGAAGGTCTTACTGGTTGACTTACACATCAATAATTCTTGGTTACAGATGCGGTGATTCCAATTACTTGTTTCATATTAGTGTGCCTGTTTGCGTTACAACACTATGGCACGCATAGAGTTGGGTTCTTTTTCGCGCCCATCGTGTTTCTGTGGCTGATTTGCATCAGTGCCCTTGGTGTATACAACATCATTTACTGGAATCCACAAGTTTATCAAGCTCTTTCCCCTTATTACATGTTAAAATTCTTCAAGAAGACCAAAAAACAAGGATGGATGTCTCTGGGAGGTATTTTACTGTGCATAACAGGTAAAAAGTTCAAGTCTTTTACCATTTGATATCATTTTATGTCAGGTCTGCTTACATCTTACCCTCTGTGGACCCCATCTGAAGTGGGATATACTAAGTGTGGTCCCAAAAGTCAATGTTCATCTTTTCACTCTTTTATCCTTTATTCGTTTTTCTTTTTCTACGTGACGCGTGTAGAACGACTGATCGACTGCACTTGCAGGCTCGGAAGCAATGTTTGCCGATCTTGGCCATTTCTCGTATGCTGCAATACAGGTACATCTGGCTTGAAAACCTACATTTGGACTTTGGAACAGATTGAATTTAAATTGGTGTTTCGACACTTGGTGTTTGATGTTTTTATGGGTATTATTCCAATTCTGCCCTCGCAGATCGCTTTCACCTTTCTGGTTTATCCGGCACTCATACTTGCTTACATGGGTCAAGCGGCTTACTTATCAAGGCATCACGAGATTGATGACCAAATTGGTTATTACGTCTCGGTACCAGGTATTCGTTTGTGAATTACAGGGGTAAAAATGTAAATTAGCAAGTGGTTTTACGTGATCCCGTGTGACTGCAGAAACATTGAGGTGGCCGGTGCTTGCTATAGCCATTCTTGCTTCGGTCGTAGGAAGCCAAGCAATCATCAGCGGAACATTCTCGATCATAAACCAGAGTCTGTCACTTGGTTGTTTTCCGAGAGTCAAAGTCGTGCATACCTCCGATAAGATTCATGGTCAAATCTACATACCGGAGATCAACTGGATACTCATGATCCTATGTATTGCCGTCACCATCGGTTTCAGAGACATCAAACACTTGGGTAATGCATCAGGTACGTTCCACAAACCCTAAACCCTAAATGATAAACACTGTTCTCGAATTCCATCTGAATTTTGCAAATCTTTATGTTCGTTTTCGTCACAGGTTTGGCTGTAATGGCTGTAATGCTAGTGACCACTTGCCTCACATCTCTAGTAATCATTCTCTGTTGGCGTAAACCGCCAATTGTTGCACTCGTTTTCCTATTTTTCTTTGGTTCGATCGAGTTACTCTATTTCTCAGCTTCCTTGGTCAAGTTTCGTGAAGGTGCGTGGCTTCCGATCCTATTAGCACTCTTTCTAGTTACCATAATGTTCGTTTGGCACTACGCCAGCATCAAGAAATACGAATACGACCTTCACAATAAGGTCTCGTTAGAATGGCTACTAGCCTTGGGTCCGACTTTGGGCATTTGTCGAGTCCCGGGGATCGGGCTTGTGTTCACCGACCTAACCTCGGGCATTCCGGCTAACTTCTCGCGGTTTGTAACCAACCTTCCTGCTTTTCACCGTATCCTGGTGTTTGTCTGTGTGAAATCGGTACCTGTCCCTTTTGTCCCCCCGGACGAAAGGTATCTAGTGGGCCGTGTGGGTCCCTCCTCTCTTCGAGCTTATAGGTGCATTGTGCGTTACGGGTATCGCGATGTGCACCAGGACGTGGACTCGTTCGAGTCAGATCTTGTTAAGAGACTTGCTGATTTCATCTACTACGATTGGTGCCGACAGCAAAAGGCTAGTGATGCAGGTAAATGTTGTATATAACGAACCTTATGGCATACAAAGGCGACTGGAGCCCTTACGTTGTGGTCCCTTGCAGGTAACGAGAGTCTTGCGTCAGGTTCAGACCGGTCCTCCGGCGAGCATAGACTTGCGGTGATAGGGGACACAGAATTCTCGAGAACCGCTGGTTTTGAGGTGGAAGAAAACATGCAACAGGTAAACAATGAACTTTACTAAACAGTCATTGGTCGAACGGAATCCGGGTATGGGTAGAACCAGGCCTCCCACTTGGTCAAGCGTTCAAACCCCACCAATTGTGAAAATAACGTATATAAATAAGCAATGAACTCATGATCCGCTACTGCAGGTAAGCGTATCGTTTGGGTTCCAAACAGTCGAGTCCCTAGGGGACATTATCGAGATGAGTACACCTAAGGAGAGACGAGTTAGGTTCACCATTGACGACCATGACGAGCCTGAAAAACGAACCGATGTGCAAATGAGACAAGAACTCGAAGATCTATGGGGCGCTCAACAAAGTGGGACCGCGTTCATACTCGGGCATTCACACGTGAAAGCAAAACAAGGTTCGTCGGTTTTGAAGAGATTAGCAATTAATTTCGGGTATAATTTCTTACGAAGAAATTGCCGGGGACCCGATGTCGCGCTCAAGGTTCCTCCGGCGTCTCTGTTGGAAGTTGGCATGGTTTATGTTGTATAAACTTAGTTTTCTGTTCATAATATGAAAGGAATGGAGTTTCGAAAATTACGTACCGTAGTTCATTAGTTCAAGTCTCCTTTAGATAAATCGATGTATCAGTTTGTTGGCCATACAACCCCGGTCAACGATTTTATCAAATTTTCGATACAACATTCGTAACATTATTACTGAAACTGCATATGCGGACATACGACATTTATTCGTAACATAAACCAAATACGATCATGTTGCATGAATCATCTTGATACGTATTCCCTCAAGCACCACGAAGCTGGCGAACACGATCCTGAATCAGTTTCCTCTCCCAATCCGCCACATTTCCGAAAGCGTTCTCAGGAAGACTCTCGAAAGGTTCTTTCCCAGGATCGTTTTTAGCCAAATCATAAGTAGCGCCTCTTATCGCCTTTTTATTTGGTCCACACGGTCGTTTTGCAGTGAGCGTCTCGTATGCTGTATTCAACTTTATGTAGCACAAGTTGAGAAAGTGTTAACAGTCGTGAGTAAACAAACCAACGATCAATATAAAATTAACCAAACAAACTCAGTATATCCCATCTGAATGTGGGACGTATGGAGACCTTATCTGTACCTAAAGAGAGTAGAACAGTTGTTTTTCAAACTGATGTATAAATGTAAGGGGTAAAAGGGTAACTTACATCCATGTCATGGAACCAGAACATGTAAGCAATGGCAACAGCAGGAGCCCTGCCTAAACCAGCTGTGCAATGAACATAAACTCTTCCTTTTCCTTCTGAAATGGCCCATTCTAATGAAGAAACAGCTTTCGGTAACATGCTTCTTAAAGAATCAGGATCAAAATCTCGTGCCTGCCCGATTCATAATCCATCAGAAAAAAACATCGGTTTTCTTGATTTATCGCCTTCATTTTGTGGACCCGTCTCTGTTATCGTGAAACGGGACCCACAATACGAAATGAAGAACGAAGAAAACGTTCCTGAGTTATTTGAGATCAGAGAGATTTTGCTTACAGGCTTTCGCATATGGCGTACTCCAAGTTGTTGACATCTTTCGACTATAGACTCCAAATCTACCCCCCAATAAGCAACGTCTCCATCTTGCTGCAAGTTAAGAATGTACGCGACGTTTTGTTCCTCTTTAAGATGGTCAATATCTTCGGGTTTCTGAGGCTGTGACCCAACGATCAGATTTTCCGTTATCAGATTATAGTTCATGCCTGAAAAGACACGGAGAAGTTCCGTCAGACGTGCACCCTTTCTTCTCAATATCCGTTGGACAGTTCATTCTCTTCTCAAAGGCTCTTTTTGACAGTAATCTATACCATAACACAAACACATTCTGAAAGAAATATCTGCATGAATGCCCACCTCTTACCTGTTATACTACAGATTCCCATACTTACTGTGATGCATTATGGCATCTTCATATTTCTGTAATTGACTTTTTGACTTTTGGAGATGAAGAAACAAAGGGGGTAATGGCATCATAGGTTTATGTTAAAGCCATTTCACTTTATTCTTTCTGGATGCAAAAAGCCTTTGCAAAAGGCGAACACAATCATTTATAGAAATCCCAAAAATAGTAACAGCTTATCCGTTGATCTGAAACCCTAGCCACTAAAAACAAGTGTCATCCATCAAATACAGTAATCGAGTGTTCATCACAAGTATCAATCAAATTGGAACAAATTTCAGTATTAAGTTTAACCAGATTAATGAAGTAAATCAAGATCAAAAGAAGAGATTCAACCAACCCATCTAGAAATTCGATTGGAAACATAACCATTTCACCCAAATCCAAAATCCAAATCGAAACAATATATAGTGAGAAAGAAGAAAAAAGAAGAGAGATACAGACCAAGATCATGGTGATACTCATAAGGGTTTCTCATCATTCTCTTCATGGCCGTGTTGTAATCCTCCATTTTGTGGTTTGAAGTTTCAGGTTTCGTGCTCTGGGAGGCTCCCTCGGTCCCATTTTGTGTTGCTTTACATGAAATTGAGGTTGGTTTGAAGTAATTTGGATTGAATTGGGGTTTCTTGTTGTTGAGATTTGATAAGGGAGCTTTGATTTCGAGTGGTGAAGATGCAACCATGAAAGATGAAGAAGAAAAAGGAGCAACAGCTTTCATTTTCCCGCTATCTTCTCCTCTGTCATGTGTGTCCTCCAGTTTTTTATGGTGTTGCCAAATTCAAGAACCTTCCAATTTCCCAAAACCCTCACGTTCCTTTTCTTTTCTTGGAATTTGATTCAAATGTTCAAAATCAATTCAATATCTGGTTTAAACGAAAACGTAGTTAACTAACGAGAAGGGTGCCAAGACTAGATTTGTAATGGTCAAATCGGCTTGACCTGCCTGGGACCGTCGGAGGATCGGGACCAGGATCGGTTATGGGATCGAAAACCTGGACTGGTTGGTGTTTTTGGCAGTTTTGCGGAACCGAGACCGGTTATGGATCGGCCCGGCCCGAAAATTCAAATAATTTTATAAATAAATGTATTTTGAAATAATTTTATAATGTATTTTTATAAGACAATGTAATTTTAATTATATTAGAACGTATTTTTAAAATGTATTTAAGTGACCAAATTGTAAATTTTATAATATATTAAAAATATATATCATTAAAAAAAAATTTAAAAAATCTTATTTTTTATTGTCGGGACCGGCGGCCCATAACCGGTTATGAAGTACCATGACCGGTCCTACCATTTTCAACCGGGACCGGTTATAAGAAAGCTTGAGACCGATTAGGCCCTGGACCCATTTTTGGCTATCACTAATCTAGAAGGATCGTGTTTATCAGTCATTGCACGGAAAAATCTTCACATGTCTTGGTTGGGGTGATCGGTCGTTCACGTCATTCTATACATGCTATAGATAAAACGTGAGTTAGTGTATAATCAGATGTAATTTATTCGTTTTTGTATTTTTCATAAATTGACCATCTTTTCACTTAAAGAAATATAACCTGTAATAGTATTAGACCATCTCAACCTAAATATTTTCTAATTTATCATCCAAACATACTTTAAAAAACTTTATATAAAATAATAATAATTTAATCTCAGTTGTGGAATTAAATAAAATAAAGATTTCTCTATTCCAACATCAAGTTTTAGAAAAATTTCTAAACTCAGAGTTTTATTTTCTTCATGTTTTCCCTATTTTAAAAACATTATAAAGAATATGTTGGAGGAGAACAAAATCTTTATTTTAAACAATCTGTTGGAGATAATTTTATTGGGTAAATTGCATGAAAAAGTAAAGTATTTTAACTTGATCCATATTCTAGTTAATGTACTTTAAAAACTTTTATTTTGGTATCTAAGATGTAAAGTTTTAAACATTTAAGTAATCGGGTAACTAGTTGAAACATTAACCGGTTATCATGCTGATGTAGCGAGTAATGTGATATCCAATTCAGTATTATTTGTTATCCAGTCCAATTTCATCACATTACTCGCCACATCATCATGGTTACTGATTAATGCTTCAACTAGTTACTTGTGGTACTTAAATGTTTAAAATTTTACATCTTAAGTACCAAAATAAAGGTTTTAAAAGTACGTTACCTAAAATATGAATCAAATTAGTATGTTGTTTTTTCATGTAATTTGCCAAATCTTATTTGATGAGGGGGAGGGAACATAATATAAAATAAAATAATATATAAATGAAAAACCCATTTTTGTAGAGACACCAAATTTTATAGTAAATACTAAATTTGACACCAAATTTTATAGTAAATACCAAAATTGACACCAAATCAGTTCAATAAATATACCAAAATTTACATCAAATTTGATGTAATAAATAGTAGCACTAAACTTGATGTCTCGTTATTCATTTACATCAATGTAGAAAGATAAAAATAAATATACCTAAAATCTTACATTTTGATATATGAGTTGGTGTTACCTACCGGAATAAATTCAGTACTTTTTTTTATTAACCTGGATATTCAACCCGCTATGCGAGCCGACTAATCTCAGGGCGATCACCTGCTTTGCAGATAGCCCGGAGTCACCGTATTTGAACCTCCGTGGCCATAAGGGAATTTTTATTTCTCCTTGGATTTGAACCTGATACCTCCTGGTACTTTTGATCTTTAGAGTCAATCTCAAACCAATCAGGCACCACCCTTGTGGTTAATAAATTCAGTATTTGAACTAAATATTAAGGATTTGATATAAGATTTGGTGGTAGATGTGCTTAATATTTACGTAATTATAAATATTATGTTACATAATTTTTGTGGCAGCTTCCTTTTATATTGGACAATGCATGATATACGAGAGGCGATTATATAATGTTCAGATAAATACTGTTTTATAAAATTTTCGAATCATTTGTATAAGGATTTAATACGAAATGATAGCAAAAATGAAAATATTGGTTTTATTGGAAAATACACATGACCAACCATGTTTAATTGTGTGCTAATTTTTTATGTAATAAACATACAAATTACAGTTTAAAGAACAAACTGACAAATTAAAATAAAATATTAAGGGACTGATTACTTTATGTTTGACTGGTGTTTGTGTTTGTAGGCACTACGATGAGACGTGAAAACACCCGATCCCATTTCGACCTCGCTCGCCTAAGCCTGCCGGCACAATAATGGAATGATGGAGCTCGCCCAGGTTTGTCAAAATTGTGATTTTCGTCCATGTGGTTTAGAAATTGTGGTTTTTGTCCCTATAGTTTGATAAAATTCTGATTTTAGTCCTTGTAGTTTAGAAATTATGGTTTTCATCCCTTTTATTTGTAATTTATTGCTATTTTTATTCTTATAATTTACAATTTATTGTTGTTTCAGTCCACGTGGTTTACAATTATTTATTGTTTTGGTACATTGTATTTTTAAAGGTAGGTTTTAGTCTATGGACGAAAACAACAATAGATAACAAACCATTGAGACAAAAAATCACAATTTCTAAACTACAAGACGAAAATAGCAATAATTCTCTGTACAACGATAATGTTACGATGTTTATATAAAATGTAAATATGAGCTCGGTAGGAAGTGAACCGAAGTAGAAATAGGGTCATGGGCGTTTGACTTTTTCATACAGAAGTCACTATTGATATCTTGATAATTTCAATCAATTAAATTAATCGGTTTTCGAAGTAATCAGTGTCTGCACATATTATATGATGTTTAAGAACTCCAAAAACGGTTTAGAATCGAGATGGAACAAATTGGACCCCCGAGATGAAAACACGACACATAAACAAATATTTCGAAAACCAGAAAAAATAAACCCGTATTCTAAATACACGACGCGTGACCGTATTGGAGAGGTCCAAGCTGTATTGATCATGACCCTACCATATGGATACAACGTTGTTGAGCCAAGCCCATTTTGATCCAATTTCAAGTATTTTATTTGCACAAAATAGCAATCTATTTTCATAATTTTCTTTATTATAACATTGTACTTTTAGTTTTTCTTATTACAACAATATACTTTCAAACTAATTTTTATTAGGACATTGTGCTTTAAAAAAATTACTTATTATAGCATTGAGTAACATTTTAATTTAAATTTATCCACTATACCGAGTTTCCATGCCAGCTCATTGTCCATGTAGACTGTCCACATGTACCATAGTGATGTAACTTTCTTACTACATTATTGTACTTTCAAAATTATTTTATTATAACATCTATTAGTTCTTATTAAATAATATATTTTTAATTTAGATATTTTATATGTTATTTAATAAATATATTAAATGTATTAAAAAATTCTAAATTATTCATTAATATACCAGTATCAATAAAAATAGTAGAACACAACTTATCTCGTTAATATTTTTTTTTAAATATGTGTTTTTTGAAAAAAAAAAATAAGAATTGTTCTTTTTTAACAAAAAATATAATCTTTTAAAAAATATATTATATTTGTTCAAAAACTTTTATTTGACGTATAAATATATTAAATTAATTAGATTTTTTTGAATTATTTATTAATATAACAATATTAAAAAATTGTAGATCACAATTTATTTCGTTAATATTAACTTTAAAAGATGTATTTATTTGAACAACATAAAATAAGAAGTGTTACATTTTTTACAAACAAAATATATCTCAAAAATAATGTTTCATATTTATTTAATAAATATTTTACTCTAGAATATTTAATTTGCATGCAACTTAATAAGAAAAAGTAAAAAAAATTAAATATTTTTTTAGATTATAGCAATGAAAAATAAAAATCACTAATAATAATTTGAAATAAGTTCTTATTTTTATTTTAGTTAAGTCATTAAAATGATGTGTCATCCACATCACCTCATTAAAACCAAACAAGCAAAAAAATTCAATGATTAACCGGTTTAAAATGTAACAGGTTACCCATTGCTATTATGGGTAGATTTTTTAAAGTACGATGTCTTAATAAAAAATGATTTTAAAGTACATTATTGTAATAAAGAAAAACAAAAATAAAATACTATAATAAAAAATTTATAAAAATAAATTACTATTTCATGCATTTAACTTTTATATATTAATTTGAGATGTATATAATAATGTAATTATATTTTGACAAAAAAGGAGTCTCGTGCAAAATAATTAATATACCAAATCAATTGTGGGTTTTAAAGTGGGAAAAGAAACAGCTTTACAGGAAAATTATAAGGGTGGCACCATGTGAACACTTCACCCTTTTTGCCCCTACAATCAACAATTTTAACCGAAATCTGCTTCTAAAGACATTAATATAAAACTATAAGAGTGATGTCTGATTAGTTTGATATTAACTCTAAAGGTTAAAAGTATCAGGAGGTCCTAGGTTTAAATCCAATAAGGAATAAAAATCCCCTTGTGGCCACGGAGGTTCAAATGCGGTGACTCCGGGCTATCTGCAAAGCAGGTGGTCGTCCTGTGATTAGTCGGCTCGCATAACGGGTTAGATACTCAGGTTAATAAAAAAAGACACTAATATAAGAGGATTTTTTTTGGCTTATTTAATAGAGGATCTGGAATCGAACCCGAAACCTGTCTTGTATCATTTTATATATTATTTGTTTTTATTTTTATGGAAAAGCATTCTTAGTGGTAATACTACATATATTGGTGGCACGTGCTTTGTTGGGAATATGTGAAAGAAATCATAGCTACATGAATTTGTTTAATAGATATTCAAAACATATGGTTTAATTGAATAAACTAACTTTATAATTTTCTTTTTTATTAATTTGTATAGCGAACCTGCTATGTAAGTCGACTAATCCCAG